AACTTATGGGCCACCCTGTATATAGCTTTAATTCTCCCTATTCATTATTAAAGGATAATACTGTGACCAGCAAAACCGGTCCAATGTTATTGACGACTGTCCTCATGGGCCAATGCTTTCGTGAATATCACAGCTATGAAAGCTGTTTTTTGACGGAAGGTTGCCCTACCTCTTATCTTCCAAGATCTGTTGACCTCGTCTGAAACAGGCGTGTATTCTTGACGTAATTGGCTCTCAAAGGTGGGTGTGTCATTGGACCAGTTTTGCGACTTTTGTCAAACCCGACCAATAAGCTTTTTTTAACAACGCCTCGCATCCTCAATATTCACAAAATCTTTACAGAAGTTGGTATTCGCATCTCTTCGCTTAATAGCGACTCTTCCCTGCGTTTTCCGCAATTCCTTTTCGTCATGAAGCCCATTCTGAAGGAACTCGAAACAGCATCGTTTCTTTGTTGAACAAAGGCTTCTCTTCACGTAAAATCGCAGCACAGCTGGGCGTCGGCCCTACTACAGTGAAGAGAGTGTCTGCAACGATCAAGTCCGATGTGCCGAGGAGCCGGGGTGGACGACCAGCCAAACTCACAGCGGCCGACAAGCGCAGACTGGTCCGAGTTGTCACATCAGGAAAGGCCGATACTGCCGTCCAATTGGCACAAGAGCTGAGGGACACTACCGAAGTGAAGGTCAGTGCTGACACCGTGCGTCGTGCCCTGAAAGAGGCCGGTCTGCAGGCAGCATCCAAGAAAAAGGAGGCCCTACTTTAACCTCGACACATTCGCCAGCGCCTCGACTTTGCATTGCGACACCAGCATTGGACCTTAGAAGATTGGAAGCGTGTTGTTTGGTCGGACGAGACCAAGATTAACCGTCTTGGGTCCGATGGGCCCAAGTGGGTGTGGAAAAGGTAAAAAAGTGCTATAACAACGCAGCATGTTCAAGGTACAGTCGAGTTTGGAGGAGGAAGTCTGATGATTTGGGGTTGTATGACGGCCCAAGGAGTCGGTTACGCGTGCCGCATTGATGGTCGCATGGACGCGGAGCTCTATACTCTCATCCTCGGGGACGAACTCCTCAAAACCATCGAACACTACAAGCTTGAAGCTAACAACATCATCTTCCAGGAAGACAACGATCCGAAACACACGTCCCGTGCAGCCCGCACGTGGTTTCAGAACAACGGAATCAAGGTGTTGGAGTGGCCTGCACAGTCCCCAGATCTGAATCCCATCGAACATTTGTGGAGTCATTTGAAGAGACGGCTGTCTCTTATGAGTATGATACTAACCCAAGTGGTATGCTGGAGCTGTGGGAGCGAGTGGAAACCATATGGAACGAAATTTCCCCAAAAGTGTGCATGGATTTGATTGAGAGAATGTCTAGGCGTGTTGCCGCAGTGGTGAAAGCCAAAGGCGGATACATCAAATATTGAATAAAGTCTCATGTCCTTGCTGAGAAAGAGTCGCAAAACTGGTCCAATGACACACCCACCTTTGAGAGCCAATTACGTCAAGAATACACGCCTGTTTCAGACGAGGTAAACAGATCTTGGAAGATAAGAGGTAGGGCAACCTTCCGTCAAAAAACAGCTTTTATAGCTGTGATTATTCACGAAAGTATTGGCCCATGAGGACAGTCGTCAATAACATTGGACCAGTTTTGCTGGTCACAGTACATTTCATCTATACCTTCAGTAGATATTGAAATAACTGCCCCAATGGTTGCAGCCACTCCAGTGAGCGACTGCAGAAGCAAACCCTGAGGGAAAAAATCAGAACAAAATAGCTAAAAAGGGGCTGTTCACAAATTACGTGACGGTTTTTTTTTATACATTTTTTTACCCTCCCCCATTTAGAAAAATGTTATTACTTATACATATCAAGCAAATTGGGTCTGCGGATGGCAGTCACACAGAGACTCAATAACAGGGCGCCCTGCCTATGAAAAACTCGCGATAAACTTGGGAGGAAAATACGTTATCAAGCCCAGGCGATAAGCGAAGTTGGCGGTATGCCGAGGGTTCAGTGCGTTATGAAGCGAATAGCACAATTCTATCTCTCCACCGCGGAGGTGTATCATGTTGTCAATTTGCATATTGGAGTGATTCCGAAATACCGTGGAAAGTGACACCAAATCGATCTTCGTTCGTTCAATATACTATAATGAAATGCTTATCGTACCGAATCACTAACTACTCGGGAACTACAATTGTCTAAGTAAATAACACAACTAACGCAACAACTCACCAGTAGCTGTTTCGGGTTGATTTTTTCTTCACTATGAGGGACACATACTTTCCTGTTCCTTTCCATTACCTACCACCTATGAAGGCAGTATATGCAATTCATTTAGTAAACTGCGGTTTTTCTCATGAGCCCCATTTCATATGGAAAATGTAGTGTTGTAGAAACTATTTTTCAGAGGCTTTCCTTTTCTTCAAGCCAACCTCACCTCTCCCTTCTCTACGGAACGTACTAACGTTAGGCCTAGGCCCAACCGACGGACTGTCCACGGGTCAGCCCTACTCCTACCCTTTTTTATTCAATGAAAAGAAACTCAATCCTCGGATTACTGGGTCAATTAGGCATATAAGGATTAATCGCTGGTCTTCGAGACATCTCGTCATGGACGTGTAACGTTAAGCCAATCGCAGGCCTCTTCAGTCTCATGGCTCTTTTAATACAGTCCATGTAACGTTAGACCGATTAGAGGCCTATTTGGAGTTTCATGAAACATTTCAGTGCAGATGAGAAAGCGTGATGTCCGAATGAGATATCTCCACAGCCCACCAAATCGATCGGCCACTGCTAGCCGCCGTTTCAATCCTCAGCTTCTTTTTTCTTCGCTGTCGTCGTTCTCTTTTATCAGTCTTAATCTTCAGTTTCTTCTTTCACCTTAGGACATTGCGTTGATTATCCCTGAAACTTTCCCTCGCGAATTATGAGGCGTGGAATTGTCAGTCCAATTGTGAAATCCCCAATGGTGCTGACTTTTGGCCCACCCTGTACATCGCATGGAGTGGTTCCATACAATTGCACAAAATTAATGTTTGCAATGAGTATGTATATCTAAAATCTATAGAAGCTATTTATATAATTTCAATTAAGATTCCTAGTACATTCTGTTGAAATTTATGTAAGATCTTCCCATAACATCTCCATATTTTCACCTGGTGAAGTAAAAAAAAAAAAGTTTTCCATACACCTACAGACTTCTAGAACTGCTCCAAAATGGTGAATGAGGTGGAAGACTATGAAGACACGTGTCAAATGATGGATACAAATCCAGTCTCTGCAGGAAAAACTGACGGTGGCAATCAGTGTCATGATGGAATTTTGCCCAAAGATGGAAGTATGGATAGTAATGGAACAGGAGATGGGGCCCTCAGAGCTATATTTGGATGCCAGCACTACAAAAGGAAATGCAAGCTATTTGTGAGTGAAGTTGACTTCAAACTGTTGCCTATTCACATGTTTCTCAATAGCCTAAACATAGAAGAAAGAAGAAGACGACAAAGAGGACAGAAAAAAAAGGTCTGAGGTGTGTTAGGGCAACAAACAGGCTGCGAAGGAGTACTGAATCCGGCACGTTGTGGTACTGGCGAGATCCGCCCTCCAGTCCGCAGACCGGGGATAACCGTAGCCGTACAGGAGGCTCTAGGATCGGGGAGAACCCCAACGAAACTCGAGAGCGCGGATAGGGGACCACAGCCAAACTTTAATGCGAGCCACTGGTTTCAACGACACGACCGAGTTTCTTTACCAGACCGATCGGGGCAATCCGGCCCGTCGCAATGCAAAGGAATGTCACAGCCAAGAAAGCTTATTACACGTCAACCAAATAGAGACTGCGATTGCCAGACGCGAACGCGGACAAAGGGAACAGGGACAATACCCGAGCCGGGCAAGTCTACCGCCTAGACGGTGATTCGGCACGAGGGCGTAGAGGGTAAGGAATCTGATAGGCCTCGCCTCCTATGCCTGCTTCATCCCAGCTGCTCGCTACACGGGCGAAGTCCGCGGGTTTGCTTGAGGTCAAGCAGGGGGCAGTTAGGAAACGCGCACGAGAAGGCGAGTTTTTGCTGCTACTTAGGCGGAAGGGATTGAATGAATAATGGCTTCGCGAAGAAATTGGGATTTCCTTGAGCAGGGTTGGATGAGTTAGTGGGTGTGGGGATTGAGTGCACGGAGGAGTTTCGTGGGGGGTGTTTTGGATTGGGCAGGTGAAAGATAGGGTTCGTGATTTGCTGTATGAGAGGGTGGATGTAGAGGGGAGCGCGAGGGGCTGGCAGTTGGTTGGCGAAGGGGGGAAGAAGTTCGCGAGGTGGCGGTGGAGGTATGTGAGGAGGAGGGGGGGGGCTGGAGAAGCCTGCCGCCTGGAACGAGGTGAGGGGTTGGAGTAAACGGAAGGAGTTGGGGGAGAGGTCTTCCGGGTCCTCTTTTTCGCCGGCATGGTGCCGTACGAAAAAAAAGGGGAGATGTTAATCTAGGGGAGAGAGTGCAGATGCAGGAGGATATTGGCAAGAATGCAGGAGAGAAAAGCGTTAGAAACAAAGGTCCTTGTAGGTAATTAATAAATCAGGTGCAGTATAAGAGAGAGGGATATGTCTTAACCAAGACAATTAGCTGGCTGCAGGGACAAAGAGCCCCGGCAGATGGGGTGAGTGATTGACCTGACCGAAAAAAAAGCACATTTCTCACTCTGAGAGAAGCCATTTTAAGCCGATTGGTAGATGACCTGGTAACCTATGGTCTCAACTTGAGGAAGCAATATATCAATATTTATATTCGCATGAAAAATGCAAAGCAAAAAATGTGCCGTCAGCAGTTGTCCTTAAATTGTAACCTCTTCTAATGACCTTGGAGATGCAGATTAGTTACTGAATCTTATTGGCTGACCCACGTATGTTTCTTTATACTTGTACACAACATTTGTGACTTGGCCTATCCGCACCTAAATGCTCTCCATTTCTTCTCGGGAAATTTTAGTTTGGCCTATATCATGATTGTGACTTGTCAGTGACCTAAGTTAAAGATTCATTCAGAATTGGAATCAGCACAGGCTACTGGCAGCCTTGGGCTAATCTGGCCGAGTTTCCCGATTGGAAATGGAAAGGCAGGTTTTTGGCAGCCTAACAGACTCATGCCTGTTACAAAAATTGAAGGAAAATTGAATGGTGTTCTTTCACTTGATTCACACTTCTTGTTTTATTAGAGCTGATAATGTGATAGGTCATGTCTAGATAATAATTAGTGTGTGTCTGCTTCATGTTATTTTCCTTGCTAGAAGCTGTTTAAACCAAAAAGGCTATTTAGCCTGATGTTCATGAAACTGAAGATTTTCATTCTCTTGTACCATTGCTCTGGTTTTGAATAAGGAATGGAATTGAACTAAGTTTGATTCTGTTATATTCATTTATCTACATCTAATAGTCACCATGCTGCGGTCGGGCCTACACCTGTCGTTTCTGTCACAATGATGCGGAGAATCACTGTATCGACCGGCGACAGGTCATGGAGGTGGTCTGCATGCAATGTAAGACGCGGCAGCCAGTGCAGAAAAACTGCCAACAGTGCAATCTCGAATTTGGTCGGGTTTGTTCCTTCCCTCGTTCACAATTACGAAAACTGATACTGACACTGATACGATTGCTCTGTACATTCACAACGTTCACTTTTTACTTCATTTAGTATTATTGCGCGCGATGCAAGCTGTTCGATGATGACGACAAGCAGCAGTACCACTGTGAAGAATGCGGGATCTGTCGCATAGGCGGTCGAGAGCGGTTCTTTCACTGCCCAGTCTGCGATGTGTGCCTCTCCGTGCACCTGCAGGGCAACCACAAGGTCAGTATTCACCTCATGTTTCATGTGATGTGTTGCAAGGAGTTTGTGACTGTTGAATGGGAAATCCTGTTGTACGTCCAATGATTATTGTTGCGCATCCGTCATTTTTATGTTATCCAGTTTACTAAACGGATCTTGTCAGCTTCTCTAGCAGCTATCTTGAAGTAGGCTAGAGAGCCTCCTTCAGTCTCTAGATATCCTGTTTAAAAAAATTATTTGAAAGCAAGAGACATCCAAGATATGATAGAGAAGGTGTTGGAAAATGAATGTATTGACCCCTTTAAAGTGATAACATATTTTAAGACATTTCTCCTATCAAACAGATGTAATGTGCTCTATTAGGTCGTTGCAGATAAGACTGAAGTCTGGTATCGAAGAGTACTAAATGGTAGTAAAGTGGAATATGTGATTTTCTGTTGATAGTGTGTGGAGCGTGTGTCTCGGGCCAATTGCCCTGTCTGCTTAGAAGACATCCACACTTCTCGCATTCCATCTCATATTCCTCCCTGTGGGCATCTCATACATAGCACTTGCTTCGATGACATGCTCAAGAGTGGCCTGTATGCCTGTCCTGTCTGCAATACCTCCATGATAAACATGGAGAAGGTTAGTTTCTGTGATGGGATAGCTTTAAACTGGGATTTGTTGTCAGATCTGAGTCTTCTGTATTTCGTTTCACTTTTCAGGTTTGGCAACATCTGGATGAGGAGACCCAGGGGACCCCCATGCCCGATGATTATCGGAATCATTTTGTTATGATATTGTGTAGGGACTGCCACAAGGTCTGCATCTGCTTGCCAACTTTTTTTTCTGGCTCTTTTCAGAGGCTTCATGGGATCGGTGAGAAAATTCATTTTCATTTTGTATTGACACAGGAATCAGAAGTGGCATTTCATATTCTGGGTCTCAAGTGTCAGGAATGTGGGTCATACAATACCTCTCGAAACAAGGGGAAGGCTGTTTTGCGTGTGCCAGGTAAGGTTTAAATTCTTGGTCTGTGTTGAATTAGAGCATCTGGGTTTGCAAAAAAAAGATATTAAAAATTCTCTTCGTTTTTATTTATTGAAGAGGAATAATTTTTTTGTTTTATTGGGAATCTCTAGACATACAAGCATATTTCACGGCAGGTTTATTTTAAAGAGAAAAAACTCCCTAACCTGAAACTTTAAAATCGCATATTTAGATTGATATTGTGCATATTATTATATAATTTTTAATCATCATGGGATGTTCCAAGTTTTTGCTATTTAAAAATCAATTTTGGTACTAGATTGTTTTGTACTTATACCTGGTGCTCCTTCCAGTTTCTCAGATCGTCTTTCACTTGTAAATTGACTTTTTTAAAACTCTTTTCTCCCATAAAACTTTCTATAACTTCATGGAAAACAAACAGGATCTGCGACTTACAGTTACGTATTTCTTTATGTTGACCCATGGCCAAGCGCGCAAAAGTAATGAAACCATGTGTATAAAGGAGTAGAAGTGGAAGGTGCAGAGCCAGTCGAAGGAGGGAATGCAAGCGAGGGGGCATCCTCGTCTCGGCCCGAGGCTGAGGCATCCGGTGAAGCGGAACGGTCATCTCACACTGTTGCTCCTCATTTTGGCTGTTCACTTTTATAGGTTTTTTTTTTGTCAAAGCCTGAACAAATGTATCGGTAATGGACATTTATCTCAGAGGTTGTGCGTATGGTGTATTTGTTATAAGAGAAAGTGGGAGAGTCAGGGGCTTGTCATTTGTCGTTTCTGTCGGGGTAAGATCCTCCCTGACTCTCATTTCTTCATTTGATTTTTGTTTGCCTAGCCTTCTTCTCTGTGATACATATATGTATTCGGGCAGAGGTTATTTGCTTCACATTTATTTCTTGTTCTTGACAAACATTTCCACCTTAATTCGTTACAGATCTTACAACAAATTACATTTTGGGGGAAGTACTATGCGCATCTCGTCCAGCAGTGGACGCACCTGAGCACCCAGGATGTTTGGCCAAGTGGCGATATCATGCCTGTTTTTCACTGAAATCGTTTTGAAGACAACCCGAGTGTCCTCAGAGCGGACAGTTACATCCTCAAGTATTTTTGGTTTTTGATTTGCAAAGTATCAAGAAGGAACAGGTTGTCCTGGCACCCAGGGGCAAAACCTCTTTGCCTTGGATTTAGTGGTGAAGCCTCACTTAGCTGCAGGTAAATAGATAATTTATGCTTTCGCTAACTGTTACCCTGGCCTCCAGCACTTTCGAGTGGAGACGAAACACCAAGGATCCAATTGTAATAGGCCTCCTATTGTATAAGGAGTCCAAAGCCGACAGCCTTTCGAGAACAGGATGGTCCTACAGACTTTGAGAGAGGCTGGCACCTTCCCAGCATAAAGCCAGTGAGAAGAGGACTGTCAGAATGTAACCTTCTGGGCTCTCTTTCAGTAAGAGTGCCCAGGTAATTCCATCCGGACCTCGTGATGATGAGACATTGACCTTTCTCAGGTGGCGGAGATGTCAAGCTACATGTTTTATTATTATTTTTTTTTTTTACAAGTGATGTGATCAAAGAATGTTAGATCGCAGAGAGGACATGGGTAATTTTGCTCTCCGTGAGAGACGGGGAACACTCGCAAAGGAGAGGAGGCTCTTGCCTTGGTCCAGTACCCCCGTCTTCTTGACTTGACCATTTGCGGGCATCCGAGGTCTTATTTTTTTTCTTTTGGGGCAGGAGAAATAGACTCAGATGTGAGTCATAGTTTCTCCCGCCGTTTACCAGCACTTAAGTGAATTCCTTCATTGAAGCGAAGTTCACCTAGCTATGTTACACTTCTCATGTCTTTTCACAAAGCCAGACTGAAGTAAAGCTCAACAGGGCCTTATTTCCTCGCTGAATTGTCCAAGCCCGTTCCCTTGGCTGTGGTTTCGCGAGATAGTAGATAGGGACAGTGGGAATCTCGTTAATCCATTAATACGCGTCAGTAATTAGATGACAAAGCATTTGGCTTTTTTTTTCACAAATTCTCCCAAATGGGGATTGTGTTTTCTTTCTAGTGTCTATGCCGATGCAGAGGGGATACGCTGATGAAAGGGAGCCTGCCCCTTCAAACCACCGGAAAAGTGATAGCCATGGAGGTTTCGGCAATTGGACCTTCG